AAAAATTTCATTGGTTTTTGTTGAAATTTTTGTATTTTACTAATTGACAGGTTCACTCAAAAGTGTACTTTTTTTAATCAAAATGAGTTTGTTTTTTATTATTCATAATTTCATTTTTTTCATCATTTAGCTTGTGATAATTTGCGATAATTGCTACACAGTGCAGTGTGCATTGCACGGCGTTGCGGTAATGTGGTTGTAATTAACTTAGCTGCAGGGTCAACTGAGTGTAGAGAAAAAGAGAAAAGTGTGTATACCATTGGCAGAGATGAAGTTCCACCAAAAAAAATTGTAGTAATACTACTTCAATATACAACTTTTAAAAATATTGAATGAAAAGTATGAGAAGAAAAAACTAGCTAATCTACTAAATGTGAACAAAAACTGCAAATAATTTCATAAAATCTGTCACCTAAACAAAAATAAATTTATTAGCATGTTTTACAGCAAAATGTTTCCAATCTGCTTATCATCTTTTTGACTACTTTATTATCATTTCCCTAATATCATGTTTTACTACTAACTAAGGCCAAAGATGCTCATTGCCACTTTCTGTCCGGTCTTTCTACCGCTTCTTCTACCACAGCGCTCACTTTTCACCAGCTCAGACTATTTCTCTCTTTCTCTCTATTCAGTGACCGTTACTTGACATGATCTCAATGAGAGCAGACTTTGCCGTTGACCACCGGAACTAGGCGGAGCATGAGGTGCGGTTTCATCAGTGTTCACTCTTCAGAGCTAATCTCAATGGCTTCGCTGGCAAACTGCCTCAATGACGCCTGCTTCTTCTCAATAGCAGCCAGAAACCGTGTAGGCGGTTTTTAATGCGACAGAGATTATGCAGTGATTGTGAAGAAGTGAGACCACTGAGAAGGTGTGCAATGCTTAGTGCACGCTGTGTGCGCTGATGGCACTACTTCGTTCACTCTCTTACTACTTTACATACCATTTGACTCTGCCGCACTGACGATGTTTGCCAACTGTGTGCAGTAGTAGTGTTTGTAAATGATGGAAAGGAGACGGATGTCGCTAAATGGCGCCAATGGCCTGATTTCACTCAGGACTGGAGAACAAAGTGGACAAGGTAAATCTTACTATTGAAATATTGAAATCGTATTGCTCATGAGACAGATGATGATGGGGAAGATATGGTGCACAGTAGAATGAATTTAGATTGAAAACCAATATTGCTTATCATTCAATAAAAAGGCGATTATGATCAAACAATTTAGACTCACTGCATAATAAAATTACACGAGTTTGCAATTATCCAGAATAAGTTGTTGCTCGGATTGAAAGTCGAAAAGCATTCAAAATGTTTCGATGCATCGAGTTGATACTAGCGATGCATCGATACAATCAAAGCTACAGTCAGTGTTTTGTTTTGCTTTTTCAGCTGTGTTCTGTTGCCGTCTCTTTCTCTCTCTTTCTCTCTTCGCAAATTCTCCACGCGCCTTTCACGCCATGTGCGGCAGTGGTTCCAGGAACCGTCGCTAACCGGTTGCGTGCTAAACGACCATCATCATCACCGTCTCATCAAAGCGTACCCGTCAATAGTTGAAGGCGTGACAGCAGCATCGCCAGTAGCCAACAAAACAGACAATAGATTGAAGACTGCTAGACCAACTCAAAACTGATTACCGATCAGTTCATGACAAGACAATCGCCGGTGCAGTTCATGAAACTTCAGCGCAGATTTTGTTTGTTTTTTATATAAAGTACGTAGTTTGACAAACTTTTTAAAGCTAACATTTGACCTTTATCTATTTGTAGGTGAAACATTTAATTTTGTGTTTGTGTTTTAGTGATTTGTGCTTTAGTGTTTTGTTTTTATGTGTGAGTTCAATGGTGTTTGTGCCTTTTAGTGTTTTTTATTTTTTATGACAATTTTCTCCTCATCTCAACTGACATCATCATTATCATCAGAATCATCAACAGTAGCATCTTCTATCTTTCATCTGAACAGAGTGCCAATCCATCACCTTTCCTTGTTGCCACCGAATCTGTTTTTTTCCGGCCACCGGCGCCACACTGTCAACGTAGGCGTCTGTCCCACTGGCATCCAGTGGAAAATTTCTCAGCGCTCTAGTGTTTTGGTGTGTAGGCCGAGGACACTACCAGCAATCACCGCATAATGTAAAAATCATCGTCCATTACGCCTGCTAATTGACCTCAGTTCTTACAACTAATCAAGTGCAATCAATTACTTAAAGTTCTTCAGCTTCTAAGACAAAGCAAACTGAGCATTTCTACTCTAGTCAGTTTTTGTAGTCATTTTTTCAGTTCCTTCAGTCTGGAAATGTCCTGGAGTCGCATTGTCTGGGCACGTCGGCGTCCAATGTGACCGCTGGTTTTGTGGATTTTTACTGTCCCATGAGTAATTTACCTTCACCACAGAAAAAAGCAGCACCAATCGCCTGATTCATTCAGAAGAAAAATCAAGGTCCTCTCTTCTCTCTATCTCTCACTCTCTCTTCTATTTTCAATCGGTTTACTTTTCGACTTCGTCACTTATCCTCAGCTGCAATCGACCTAACCGGGCGCCCACCACGACCAGCGGCAGCGGCAGCAGCAGCAGTTGCAGCGCCAGTCACTGTTGCACAGTTTTTTCATCGTATCATCTGGTCGCCAGCAGCTACTGCTGCTACTCGCTAACCCACAAACGAAAGTGAGTGAGTCTTCAGATCTGTCGGTGTATTGCACTGTTGCATTGGACGCATCGAATCGCCTTTTCTCTCTTCCACCTTTGCATGCACACACACAAGCCCACAGACAGGCACTGTCTTGTAGTTCTCTACCACTACCCGCCAGCTTCGCTATCTCTGCCACACAGTGCAGTGATGCAACAGGCGATGCGGCCTGAACGTCGCCTGTGGCAGCAGCAGCAGCGGCACAAGACAGCTACCTTCTTATGCTGCAGCAGTGGTCGTGGCTTCCGACTTCTCCATTGGCCATACTCTCTTGCTCTTTCTCTCGCTCTGTCTGTTCACATCTCTCGAGAATCGAACACAGGCGCCAGGAGCAGCACGCGAACAGAAGGCGCGCACGTTTGTCTTGGCTCCGTTTGCTCTGTTTGACTAAGTCAACAGCTCCGATGCCGACTTCACGTCAGTCGGCGACTTACGCTTCGAACGAATCGCACGTCTAGCGCACCACCTTCCTCTTCTGTGCACTTCGACCTTTTGCCTCCTGTCACCACTTGTGTGCTTTCGTCTCTCTTTCCCTCACTGCATTCATATCTTCTGCTGTGTATCTCCCCTGATGTGTGTATAGAGTCCAGTGTCCACTAGGGCCCAAGGTTTTTGCACCATTTTTTCCGAACGGTTGACTGTGTCAGTCGGTGAAGAATCATCCTTACCGAAATTCAACTATTTTCTAGCTTTAATCAGTATTAAAACTGGTGGTGGTCAGTTGACAGTGTGGTTGTTTTTGACAAATATCTTCAGATTTTATTTGCATTTCACCTAGTTTTGTTTTAACAAGTTTTGTATTACTTTTTTAAAGCTTAAGAAGTTTATATCAGCAACAGCTTTAAAATATCAACAGTTACTTCATCCGACTTTTCATTGGCAAGTAAAGAATATTCTTTGGCACTTTATTTTTGTTCAGTGCTTGTGCTTAATTGACCTTAATTAAGATTGATGAATTTGCAGTATTTTTTCATTTGTGTCTATTTTTTTGTTCGTTCACTATCCTTAGTTTTTCTCCCTCTTTCACCCCTTTCAGCACACGCAATTCATTGTCATTTAATTTATTTTTGTTTTTATTTTTATGTCAGTTTTTTTTATTTGCCAAACACTTAATAAATCTTGGAGATTTTAGTCATTTTTTCATTTGCTGCTGCTATTGTACATGACTCTCTTGTCTTGTGCATCCATTTTTCTGTGCAGTAGCTAGAAGACTGATAAGTGTGAATTAAAAGTCGAAACGTTGCGTTTGGACTTTCCAGCAATTTGAGAAATTAGAGATTTTAGAAAACTATTTGGCCAAGTCATTTGGCACGGCATGTGTTGAGAGATAGAGTGTGTGGGTAAATATCGAAATGTAAATAGCCGCTCGATTCAGGGAGATGCCAAGTTGCCCTCGCAACCGGTATTGCTTTCCAGTTAATTGCTGCTGATGAAGGGGAGACAAAATGAGTGTGTGTGTGCATGTGTTTATTTAATTGTCACTATCGCTCGGCTCTGGTTCGGTGCTTATTTGTTTTACAAGCGCCAGCGAAAGAGGCGACAGAAAGGCTGCCGACGATTATTTGCACGACTTCTCAGGCAGACTCTAGGCACTTTCTTCGCCAACCGCAAGTTGGCGAACATTTTTGTTGAGATTTGTTTTATTGGTCAATTGGCATGCCGCCATTGCGCCAACAATCAATGACTTCTCTTCACTTTCACACTTTGCCTTGAGATGGCTTCAAGGGAAAGACGGTGTTCGACAACAGTGCCGCTTAATTAGCCTGCTAACTAGCAGTTGCCTGTTGACACCTGAAGATTGCTTGAACTTTGGCTAGCATTTTTAGTTTTTGAAGCGTACTAAATGTCGAGTTTTAAATTAGAACTAACTAGAAAAGGGTTTCGCTTTTAAGAATGTTTTATCTATGTGAACAGATTTTTATGTTTAATTTGAGCAATGGTTTTCTAATCATGTTTCTTTTAATTCGTTTTTACAGGGTTTCTTCAGTCTCCAAACGGACATTCTTCACTCTTCAATGTCACCGTCTGAGTGAATGCACCTGTAGACCCAACTGCATCACTGAAGAAACAGTGAGTGAAGAACTCTGAGCGTCGGAGTTCGCCAGTGCCGACGACCCCCGGTCTCAATTCCCGATGCATTATTCGGCGGTGAATGCGGTCAATGCGGCGTCGCCTGCCTCTGCATCTCCCTCCTCCTCCTCGCTCTCGCCCATCGGCTCCTCTCTGGTGGGCAATCACTCGCACCAGTCGCACTCTCACTCTCACTCCCACTACCACCACCTGTCCGGCAATGATGGCAATGTCTCGGCCATGTCGCATCACTCCGAGCTGATGGCCAGTCTCAGCGACAGTGGCCTCTCCCCGGTCAGCGTCTCCCAGTCGGCGTACAACGGCGTCGTCAGCAAGTCAGAGCCGATGTGCGACGATCTGGCCACCTCGACGACCACCTACACCACACTGCAGTCAGCTGGTACTGCTCCCGTCAGCACCAATACTCACAACGGACACTACGCCGCACAGCAGTCCACGGTCAATCAGAGCGGAATGGCACAGAGCGGCAACGCTTCCTCCTCTTCGGCGCCGCCACCGCCGCAGGCAAAGGGCGTCAAACGCAGTGCTCCCAGTGCTACCGCCACCAAGTCAACGTACAGCAATGGCGGGAAAGCCAACGGCACAGCCTCCGCCAATGGCACATCTACGGCTGCCGCTAGTGGCAGTGGTTCTGCGGCGAGCAGCGGTAGAGCGAGCACTGGCGGCGGCAAGAAGACCAAAGGCCGTGTCAAAATCAAGATGGAGTTTATCGACAACAAACTGAGACGGTACACCACCTTCTCCAAGCGGAAGACCGGAATCATGAAAAAGGTTAGTCACGGGGATTCTTTTTTCTCTCAATTTGACACTTGCGCCTCACTTGCCCGGTGTAGAATGCTGGGCAAAATGTATATTTATAGAAACTGCTGAGGACTGTTTAGCTATATTAGGACAATTTGGGCTCTGACTGGTGGGAAACTGTTGGCGATGGTTCAACTAGTAACGTGCCATCTGCCATTGAGATGCGTTAGATTTTTGGCTGGTTGGCTTTTTTATTGGCCAACGTGTCGAGGCGACGAGTAGTGAGCAACAACAGGAAGGCAGTAATCGACAGATTAGCTGAGCTGGCAGAGAAGCATTCGGTGCTGCAGGCAGTGTTCTCATCTTTTTTTGCAAGTGAGCGAGATGCTTTCCTTTCATATGGGGTTTATTTTTGAGCTCACTCTGATGGCGATGATATGAATAGAGTGATAGAGGGTCATTGTGCTTGAAGTCTAAATGATAAATACATCTTTTATCTGTTTTGCAGTAACTGATGTGAAGAAGTAAGGTGTTGAAATTTTGATAGTTTTCAATTGTTCGAACCGCCTTGTAGGTCAGTTCTGTGTTTGTGTTTGTTTCAGTGATAATGACTAGTGCCGTGGAATGTTATTGCTGTAGTAGGCTTCCTTCTTGGAGTGGCGCCTTCTGACTAAGCAGGTTCAATGGGGGAGTGAGTGGAAGACTACCACCGCCACCACCGCCACCAGTAGATTCAGTTGTTGCACGCAGTTGTTCAGTTTTGGCAATTCTTTTGCATCTGCTGACTCTCTCTCTCTCTCTCTGACTGCATTTGGTTGATTTCATCAAATCGGGTGAAACTGTTGTGCGGGCTATTTTTGGGAGCTGTACAGAGGGAGGCCATTCGGCTTTGGCCATGCTGCATAAACAGCCAGTGCTGATGCTTCACTGCTTCCTCAACTTCAGCAGCTTCGGTGGCAGTGAGCAGCAGCCGTGTGAGAAGCAGCGCGTCATCGGTATGTGTCGGTGGTGGTGATTGCAGGCTGATGAAGAGGAGAACTTTGGAATAAAAGATGGCTGTGCTGGCTGTGGGGGCACCGGAGCACACGATGAATGGGAAGCTTGTGGAAGTTGTGGATCGGTTCACTACTTTTGTGCATAAACAGTCAGCTCTCACTGTGACGTATGTGCGTTTGTTTAGCTTCTTCGGCTGTCTGCCTGCTCTGCTGGTACCGCATCTGCTGCCGGTGTCAGAGGTTTAGTTGACTTGGCTAAGGTAACCTTTCATCTCGGGTCACCTCACTGTGCACTCCTTCTGCTGTGTGCGCTCTAATCACTATCGTTGCTGATTTTTACTTGTATTTTCTTATTCATATTTTTTCTTTTCCTTTGCTCGCCCTGCTGTAGTGTGCTCTTGTCTGGCCATTGACAAAGTTCACCTCCTTCAGCGCAGCTCACTTTGTTTTCCTCCCCTGTTGTCAGCCCACACTCTTGTGCTTCTCATCACCTGACGCCCACAAGAAAAACTTGACCTAATCTCAAGTGTTGTGCGGCGTTTGAGCTTTCTCAATTGTTTGTCGGGTCTGAAGCTTTGTTAGAACGAAAAAAATTGGATTGAGAGAGTTATGCATTTAAATAATTTGATAAAGTCTTGTCTGGTCGGTGACGGATAGCTTCATTTGAGACAGGTGATTTGCTGCTACAGTTAGGAAATGTTCAGGGTTGTGTCTTATTATACTGTCTGTTGCTAGCACACATTTACGTACTTGAATTGTCACTTGCCAACAAATTGTCGATTGAAATAAACGCTTTTACTAATCGTAATAATATTGTGTAAGCCTGCTTTTCTTAATTTTTTTAGTTTGATTTTTTGTGTTTTTTTCTGCTAGTTTTTTGAACGACCTTTAACCTCAGCTAATCAGCCAGGTCGTTTTGGACGCCTACGTAGACATTCTTTTCAGTCTGCTTTGGTTTTTTCCGCGTAGTTTGCTCTTTTTCAGTTGATTAATTGTTTTCCTTTTCTTTGCTCATTTGCTGCAATCCTTGGTGCAGGTAGCGCAAACTAATAGACTGGTTAACCTGGTGTATTTTTTCCGGTTCTGGAACCAGGTGGAACTAAAGCAGCAGGTGTGTGTTTTTGTTCAGTTTCTTCAGATTTGTGTCACTCGATATTGTGACGAAAGATAACAAAAAAAGTTAAAGTAGAAAAGAAGTACATTACGTCTGCGATTTGCGCCTGTGTGTGATTGTGAGTGTGTGGTTGTGCTGTTCCCCTTCATTGCTGCCACCGGACAGGCGACGTCAGGGCGACGATGGTGAGCTGGCTGCTGCTGGCACATCCACTCACTCACATCCATTCACTGCTTGGCCCTGGTCGCCCACACACGGAGCACTCTGTGCGGCTCCTTTCAGTTGCTGTTGCAGTTGTGGATCACCGCTATAATCAACTGCTCAGTGGATCTCCCTCTCTCCCTCTCTCTTTCTCTTTGACTGCATCACGTTAGATTAGTGTGCGTTGATTGTCGGCGCAGCACTGTCTCGGTGTGCCCCCTCCCTCCCTCTGTGCGCCTGGCAATGTGTGGGGGCGAAGGGACTGAGAGTGCTGGAGTTGCCGTTGCTGCTGCCGCCATCACTTCCTCTCCAACACAGTCTTGCAACAGAGTGGACGAATCTCTGAGCTGTTTACACTTTCGATTTTGCCAGGTGTACGTCACTACTGTGGGAGAGGATGATTTATTGTGCTGATGGAGGGAGGGAGGGCAATGAATAATATGAATAGATGGAGGAAGGAATGGATGGAAGGATGGATAGATGGATGGATGCTATCGGTGCTATTGAATGGGAGCTTAGGCGAAATGGCAATGCGTCGATGGGAAAGAAAGGTGGACAGAGACTAATTGAGTTAGCGTTCACTTGGGTGATGGGGTTGCCAGTGTGAGAAGGCGGAAGTGGGTCAGCGCATTTCATTTTCTCAAAGCTGCTGCGTGTTTTTTGTGGAGATTGCAACTTTTGCAGTATGTTTGGTGCCATTTTGTCAGTAGTTCATTTGGTTCCATTCCTTCTTTTCTCCTCTTTGTGAAGTGTCATTCGCTTTTCTTTCTTTCACTTTCTTATTATTGCCTCTCTCAAGATCAATGTCAGCGCATGAATCCTGTCGCCGGCGAGTACAATGAAACTCAATTGACAATGGAAATGATTTGAATAACAAACTCTTCTGCAGGCGACAAAGATGCTGTTTGTCCTTGCGCAGTGTCTTTCCCCTTGTCAGCGAGACTTTCTGCTTCTGAGACAGTTTCCGTGTGATTGAACGCGCTCCTTCGGTGAAGGTGGTCAATGGTGTGAGTGGAGTGATATTCTCAATCAAGTGTGAAAGAGAAGTGAATTAGAGAAATGAGAGGGAAGCTTCTGGTCTTGGCAGCAGGAGAGACTTGTGGTGGGCTATCTAAATTAATTTATTAGCTTGCAAAACTGAGGAGGGAAAAGGTGCAAGCGTTTGCTTGCGTGAATTGCCGACCATTGGTGCGCTTAGGTGATGCGGCAACTTCAAATTCGAATGGGTTTTGCGTGTCAAAGAAGAGTGCAAAGAAGAGGAGGTGAGAAGAGAAAATTGTTGAATTGCAAAGTGCCAACTCACTCTCAGTTAGTCTTGTACAGTTCTCTCAGTTTTTTATTGGCTAATTAGGATGAACAGGTGGGACGTCAGCAGTGATTGTAAATTTTTGTGCTGACATTAGCAAGTGAATTGTTCTCTGACTGCAGCTGCTTCTCTTTGAGCACTTTTAGTTGTTGAAGGACCCCTTGGTGTATGTAAATTGGATTTTAGTGCAGTGGGCAGTTTTTAATCAGTGAATTTATTATCTGCTGCTGCTACGTTTGCTGATGAAATTGATGAAGGTGATCTTCAATTGTTAATTTGTTCCTTTCTTCCCTTATCACCTTTAGGCATACGAACTGTCGACACTGACGGGCACTCAGGTGATGCTGCTGGTGGCCTCGGAGACCGGTCACGTCTACACTTTTGCCACACGAAAGCTCCAACCGATGATCACCTCTGACGCGGGCAAGGCACTCATTCAGACCTGTCTCAACTCCCCTGACCCCAGCGGACTGATGACCGGCGCTGGGGTGGGCAATGGCGCCTCCGCAGGCAGCGGAGCCGGCAACAGTGGACCAGACGTGGTCACCACCAACGGCCACATCAGCACACTGGTGGGCAGTGGCGGTGGCACCAGCAGCAGCACCAGCAATGGCAGCAACTCGGTCGGCGGCGGTGGGCAGCACCTGAACTCGGCGGAGCAGCACCACAACTCAGACCTGTCGAGGATGATGGCCGCTCAGCAGCAGAGTTCGGGCGGTGGTGGTAATGGTAATGGGCCAACGGGCTCACTGTCGGGTTGCAGTACGCCCAACACCGTCATTGACCAGCGAATGTCGGCCACTGGCTTTGAGGAGACTGAACTCTCCTACTCGGTCAACGGCGATGACTGCTCTCCACTCAATGATAAGGTAAGTGTTGTTTGTCCCTTCTCATTCCTTTTCTTCTTTTTCTTCTTTTCTATTCGTTTTCTATTCTTTTGGTTCTTTTGGGTATTATTTATTTTACACTACACTTTTGAGCGCTACTTGACTGCTAACTTTTAGAGTTGATCTTTCTATTGTTTCACTTTGGATTAACTTTTTCTTCCACTAACTCCCACCTGGTTTAGTGCAGTTTAATCTGTTTTAATGGCTAATTCATGGAGAGTGCATAGAACAGTTTTGATTAGGTCAGCAAAACTTTGGTTTTGCTCTTTTCTTTCTTCCTAACCTTATGCTTCCTTAAACTTTGTCTGCGCTCTCTCCCTCTTCTTTGCCATTCCCTGTTCGCCCCGTCGCAGACACCCACACAGTCGTCCTCTTGGGCGCCATGATGGCTCTTTTGCCAAGCGAGTGCAGTGCAGAGTGCTGGGGATGCGTCTGTCGCGTTAGCTGATTGTTGTTTAACTGATGCTCCTCACTCCTTGTTCATTGTTTGGTCAAACTGTTCAGTCACTGTTATATCCTGTTCTACTTTTGGCTGACATCGGGTTCAGTTTTTGTTAGGCAGTTTGTGCACACTTCAGTGGCCATCACTTTTCTGCCTCAGTTTTGCTCAATTTGTGCCCAGTTGCCATCTGAACTGAACTGAACTGACTGACTGTGTGTTTGAGTTTGTCTGTATTGCCAACAAGAACGAAGGCGACCAATGTGAACAAAGTGCCTCGCAGGGGAAAAGTTTACCGGTTTTAGGTGCCTGACAGTGAACGGAGTAGAGGTGAGAAACTTTGTGATTTAAAAGAAATTTGTGTTAGTTTATAGTGAAGTTTTTGAAGTTGAAGTTGCAAAATGTGTTCGCATGTCTGACTTTTTTTCAGTGTGTAAGTGTGTGTGTTTGTTTTGCGAGTGAGTCGCAGCGGTGATGACGCCAAGTGATGCTTGGGCGTCATCGACGAGATTCGGATTCAAACTGAGTGAGGTGCTTTGTGTGCAGTGATTGAGATTGGCAGAACAACGAACGGGCAAGGAGAAAGAGATGTGCGCCTTTGCGAGGCAAGATGAGCAGATCAAGTGACAGATTAGAAAGTGAGCTACAGTTTGACAAGTTGGCTAGATGGTGGTGATAAGCTGGGGCAAAACAGTTTGAACTACAGCATTGTAGTCTGCCTGATGTGTCTTAGCTCTATGCTGACGCTTTTTTAGGCCAATTTTAGGCGGTTTTAACGCGTATAAAAATTTGAAAAAATTTCAAATGTTGATTATTTTGTTGAAAGAATCCACACTTTTTTGTTATAAAGACATTTTGTTTTAAAATTCTAGTTTAGCATTAGAAAACGCCCTACTCTTTTGTGCAGCGTGAGCTGACTTTTGATGTAGTTTCTTGAAAATTGTCTGGGAGAAGTGACCGAACCAGCATGTAGCCATGTGCTGTTTGTTTGATCGCTTCATTGAACTTCACTCCTGTCGTGTCGATATCACTGACCTATAGTTTTCGCCCAATGACAATGGCCACTCTAAGTGATCCAAATAGATGTGATGCCACCTGTGTGCTCCTTCATCAATCTCAATGTCACCTGTCACCGAATCTTCAAATTGTTTATCTTCAGTGTGCCTTTGGCTTCCCTTCGCCTGAACCCGACGGACACACAGCGAGCACTAGTGCCAGTGTCGTCTGTTTGGTGTTGTGCTCATCCACTTTGGTGTCCTTTCGCTTGTTTTCCTTTCCCCTTCTTCTACACACTTCACTTGCGCTGCCTCTCCCATCACTTTCCATTATGTCATTTGCATAGTGCACTTGCAAGTGCCACTTTGTCTGCTGTGGTTTCGGTGTTTGTTAGCGTCGACTCGCCTCTGCTCTCTTGTCTTGCAGTGTCCATTGTCTCCCCTGGCACCGGTGCCAGTGGGCAAGTGTGTGCTTGTTGCGCTCAAAGACTGCCAAGGTCGAACGCAAACACACATACACACACACACAGAGACAGACACTTCACTGACTAACCTAAAGTGACTGGCCAATGACAATGTCGGTCTTTGATGCTGTACAGTGCTGCACAAAGCTGCACTACAACTGCTTGCTGTTTGTGGCTAGAATTTTAAGATATCTCAATATTTCGCTGTGTGTAATCTAATAGGAAAGGGTTTCACTATGAATATTTTGAAATATCTTGATGGCTTTCAGCGTAGGACATTTAAGCACGTACCGCTGCTCTTGCCTTCCTCTTTGATTGATTGTCCGTCCCCCTTGTTAGCCATTCATTGTGCTGCTTGTAAGCTACCAGACCGCTGTTTTTCCCCTGACCATCTATTGTAATGCAGACAACTAAAAAGGTGTAGGGGATTCTGTTGTTTATTNCGCTGTTTGTGGCTAGAATTTTAAGATATCTCAATCTTTCGCTGTGTGTAATCTAATAGGAAAGGGTTTCACTATGAATATTTTGAAATACCTTGATGGTTTTCAGCGTAGGACATTTAAGCACGTACCGCTGCTTTTGCCTTCCTCTTCCTTTGATTGATTGCCCGTCCCCCTTGTTAACCATTCATTATGCTGTTTGTAAGCTACCAGTCGGCTGTTTTTCCCCTGTCCAACTATTGTAATGCAGACAACTGAAAAGGTGTAGGGGATTCTGTTGTTTATTTTTTGCAGTTATTCATTTGTAGCGGACTGCTTTTGTTTGCAGAACTGCGCAGTAGATCATGGTCAGGGTCGTGGATGTGAAAAAGGAGAAAGATTTTGGTAAAGCTGGAGAAGAGTTGGCATTCTTTCTGTTTGTGAGTCTTATTATTTTAATTTTTTGCTTTTTTCCTCACAATGTCGCAGTCGGTTGATGCCTTAATATGTGCGACGTGATGACTGCATCGTGCACACCTCTTTTTGCGCAGCTTTATCATGACTTTGAATGGTTGAGCTTCTGTGACCCATCCCTGGTGTTCTTTGTTTTGTTCAATCAATTAGCCAGTCTTACTTGTTTCTCCTTTCTTGCTTAATGATATCTTTATCGTAGATAATTGTCTCCTGCTGTCGTAGATGTGTCTTTTGCTTGACAGTAAAGTTATGTTGCGTTTACTGGCTTCATTAGAGCAGTGTAAATGAACTTCGACAAAAGGCTTGTTAGTGTTTTATTAAAATCAGCCAAATTAGTCATCATTTAGTGCATCCGTTTACTGATTTATTAAAGTGTTTATGAATAGTTTTTTTTGTCAAGCGGCATTTTTTCAGTGATTTACAAGTGTATACTAATTGTGAAATGTTGATTTTGTTTTTTTCACTGTTTTCCACACTGTATTTGCATAAACGTGTGCCACCCGCGTAGTTGCTGTCCTCGATTTGAGTTTAGCCAGTAGAAGCCTAGTCTTTTGGATGCAGTGTTAATGAATAGAAAGCGTTTTTCTAAAGTTGTTCAGAATGAGAGTGTTGTTCCTTTACATTGCCGCCTTCATTGATTGCTGCTAATTGATTGATTGATTAATTAGAGCCTCGCCAAGGTGGAAGGCGCTGACCGCCACTAACAAGCGGCAATTGTCCTCACTAGCGACACTTGTTTGATTTATTCACGTATTGTGTAATGCTCAAAGGACAGTCCGCATTCAGCTGGAAAGAGACTTGGTGCTCTCTTTCTTTCCCTCTAAAGCTCACCTCTGATTGGATCAACTGTGATCTGATTGATCACCGTTTTTACCTGGAGTGGATTATAGACTTGCGCCAGGAGTGTCGGTGGGAGCGATGATTGGTCGATGATTGTACGACCGAGTGCTGGTGGCCCTATAACGGTGATTGACTCCATTTGTATCACACACCATCATAAGGGATACTCTGTGTGAGTGTGAGTGTGTGCGTGTGTGCGGCTAATGTGCAGATCGTGAGACACGAACGTGTGCAATGTGTGCGGTGGACGACGGCAGTGCTCAATGCCATTCACTGCCTGCACCACCGATGACTGATGGACTGTGAATTGAGACGAGGCAGATCTGACGAGAGGCAGGCTGAGCTCGCTGAATCAGCTTATCACTTGCAAATCAAGACTTTTATCGAGGATTACAATTAGGAGCAGAAGGTGATTTATTTTTATTATAATTTTAAGAGAAGCTTTGATGACAGCGCTGAAGCGGATTTGCTCATTTACCTGTCTAGCTTCTGGTGTTTTTATTGTTGTTTTCATCTAATTTATATAGTTGTTTATGGGCAGTTTTGTGAATGAGAGATTCTTATCGTCTGAGGCGCATGTAATCTTAATTTAAAAATTTTGTTGTTTTTTAAACAAGAGAAAATCTAAGCGAATGGAGTGCACTAACTTTATCATTTTATATGTTTAATTTCATAACATATACATAACACTTTATCTTATCTACTTTATTAACTGGCATTAATCAAACNTATAACATATATACATAACACTTTATCTTATCTACTTTATTAACTGGCATTAATCAAACATATTTTCGAGTTATCATTGAGTATGTTTACCTCAGCACTACTAATCCCCATTTGAATGCCCAATTGAGTGTGTGTCTCATTTGTCTTGCTTCTCTCTCTTTTCTCCTTTCGCTTGCCGCTTCCCCTGTTTTGTCGGGTTTGTGTGTTCCGCCCACTGTCTGCACTTCACTACCACCACCACCACCACCTGACCCCGCTTCAGCAGCACCTGTATCACGCCTCTCCGGCGCCCTCTTCTGCTTCGTCGCTTTCCTCTGCCTCCTCTTCCTGTGCCGCCTCTTCGCCGCCCATTCTCCTGTCAATGTCCGCCGCCGGTACGAACAACCACTCGGCTGAGCACAACGGAGTGAATGGCAACGGTAGTGCCTCCTATCACGAGGGCATTGAGGTGTCCCAGCATGGCTACGGAGGTGTCCCCTCCTCCTCCTACCACCACCACCACCACCATCACCACTCCCCGATGCTGCAGTCCTCCTCGGGGCAGCAGCACTCACTGCACAGCAGCCAGCAGGCTTCTCCCCACCACCAGTCCCAGCAGTTCACCACACTGAACAGTGCCCTT